CATCGGCAGGCGGACTCTCAACCACTGCACCACCAGGGAAGCCCAATATTTTGTATTCTTAATAAAGATTTACATGATGTTTATCGTTTTACCCTTCAAAAAGCATCTTCTAACTAAAAAAAAAAAAATTTTTAAACCCTTTCTCTTTTCTTTCATGTCATTGATGACATCTCTTTTGGGAACTCAGAAGCCAGCCAAAGGTAAGAGATTTGGTTTATTATGTGATGCTTGTAAAGGTCTTATGGGCATATTTTTGAAGTACTGGTAATTTTCTTCTCAAAAATAAAAATATTTTCTGTGGCATTTTTATATATAAAAAAGTAATGCAAGCTGTCAGCCTGTTCATAAATCCAAAGCCATTTATTGGTGTAAGAGGTTTATAGAAAAGCTGTATTTGTACTTTGACCAATTCTGTCCAGTCTCCTGGCAACTACAACACAGATTCCTTTTGTGCCCTGCTGTTCGCCATGGATTGGCTCGAAACTGCTTGTCCCATACTGTGGTCAGAACCATAGCAGGCAGACTCATCCATGTTGCTCCTGGGACAGCTGGGGACACATTCTCAGGCCAACAGAAACCTGCCCTGGCCCACAGCTTCCTCAAGGGAATATGCTTTCATCTGAGATTTGAGCCCAGATTCTAAAGAAACTTCGGTGGGGTGGGTCAGTTCCTGTATCTCTTAGGGAATGTAGTTGTGCCAAAGTAGGCACAAGGACTGTATTATTGAATTGATCATTCTCTGGAATTTTCCAGGAAATTTAGATTTTTATCTACATTCTTGGAGTTTGGTTTAAGAGTCCGTGGTTGAACTGTAATTCCATTCTCTATTATTGTTGCTAAAGTATGTATAGACTTGTCAGTTGGGACTCTGAATGATTAAAAAAAGAAGTTTAATATGGCACTGACTTCTTTATATATGTAGAACTAATTTCATTAGTTTTATCTTTTCTGTGAAAAGATGCCGGATTATTTTTGTTTTCTTAATTTTTGATGCAGCAGAGGCTGAAGATTGCAGTAATAATGTGAGGAAACATTACATGACTGTTTAAAAACTATTCATGTTTTATTTAATTCCACTGTATCTTAACGTTTAGAGAAAATGTGTTGACGTAAAAAATATGGAAGGGCCAACACCACTCTATTAACATGGTGGTTCCCTCTAAGGAGAAAATGCTTGGTGAATGGGAGACCTTTATTCCTTATGTTTTGGTGTTATTTGACTTGTTATAATGAATGTGTGTTTCTTCTCTGTTACTTAGAAAAAGGTTTTTTTTTTTTTTTAAATTTTAAAGGAAAAATGTTTATTTAGAAAGAAAAGGGCTTGTCTGCTTTAGGAAATCTGTGGCTGGAAGATACCTGTAATAATTTACAAAGTTCCTGAAGCTTAAAGAGGACCATTCAGTGTTGTTAGTAAACAAGAACTAAGCATTCCTAGTTCCCAACTTGGTACCAGGCTGTGGCACCTTCCTGTAACTGGAGAAGAGAGCGAATCCAGCCTGTGGTGAAGGGCCTGATGGGGAGCAGACAAAGCGCTCAAAGGCTGGGTTCAGCTCCCAGCTCCCCACCTGCAGGTCACCAGCTTCTTGACTTCCATGTACCCCAGGGCCTCCCGTGTAGTATCAGCTGTTGTTGCGGTTACTTTAATGGTAGCTTCTCTACTGGAATTGAGAACTAGAATTGTGAAAGAACTCCCTGAATTTAAGATGTTGGGGGTAGAAGTTTATTAATTAATTAATTAATTTTGGCTGTGTTGGGTCTTCGTTTCTGTGCGAGGGCTTTCTCTAGTTGCGGCAAGCGGGGGCCACTCTTCATCGCGGTGCGCGGGCCTCTCACTATCGCGGCCTCTCTTGTTGCGGAGCACAGGCTCCAGATGCGCAGGCTCAGTAGTTGTGGCTCACGGGCCTAGTTGCTCCGCGGCATGTGGGATCTTCCCAGACCAGGGCTCAAACCCGTGTGCCCTGCATTAGCAGGCAGATTCTCAACCAGTGCGCCACCAGGGAAGCCCAACTCCCTGAATTTAAAAAGAAAGAAAAGAAAGGAAAAACCCACAGTCGTAGGGAGAGGAGTGCCATTTAGAGCCTGATCTCTGAGATGTGCACACAGATGGACTGTTCAAGTGTGAGCTAAGCTTACAAGCAAAGAATCAGGATGGTGTCCACTTAACCTTGGTAAGAGCAGAATCAAATAAAGTGCTGAGAGATGAGAGCTGAACGTTAGAACAGCAGAAACTTAATTTGAGCTTCACGTCTTATTTAATCTCTCCCTGCTGACTAGTGTAGCTGGAAAAGCAGCCCCCACTGGAAATTTTGGTCCACAGTCCTTTGGGACCACCTTCCATCTTCCTTCTTCTTTTCCTCCTCTCTCTGTTGGAGAATTGCTAACATAGGGAGCCACCACTATTGACAGACACATGTTTAGCTCTAGAAAAATGTTGAGGATTAATAATGTACCACATAGTGCTGAGGCTGGGTGGACAGCTTCTGGGCTCCAGGGTTCCCACCTCCTCCGGGGTGTTGTCCGTCATTGGGCTTCTGCCTACCTTTCTGGCCTTGCTTCCCCATCACTGCCCCACCCCAGGGAACAAATGCCTCGTGCCACTGTTTTGCACAAAGATGTGGGTGTTCTGATCCTTCCTTGCTCTAAAGGTGTTTCTAGCCAGTTGCCCTTTTGGTTGCCCCCAGGGCCCCTAGCCACTCACTGAGCTGTTTTCCTGCTGCACTCCTGGAATTGCTCTTAGCTTTGCAGCCATCTCCTCCTGCAGTGATTTGGCCTGTGCTCTCCCTGTGGTCCCCACCTCACACCGCACCAGTCTCATTGCAGCTGTTTTTCAGGGCTTCTCAATTTCTGGTCCAGGTATAAGCGAGCAATCTTGATTTCAAAAACTTGCTCTCCTTTCCCCGCTTCTTTCGCTTTTAGGCTCTTTCCCTCCCT